GCATGGCTGAAATAGATGTTCACCTCTCGTTCCCCTGCAGAACCACACCTGTGAGAGCTCAGCGGGTGTCCTTCCACAAGCCTCAGGTGAACCTCCTGGGCTATTAGGAAGTAGCGCAAAGGTGGGGCCCTCCCTCCAGCCAATCCCAGACACTGGCGTGCACCATCACTTTGCATGTTGGCCAGCCGTTGCACATCACCCTCATCTGGACCACACCTTTACTTGCAAAATGGAACAGCCTTGTGTCTAGTTTCTCTACACTTCAGGGCAATGTTCTTGGACAGCTTAGGAATTATAGGCTTAACATTTCCATATGGAAACTTTCCATATGTTTGACATGGTCAGTGAATGGTGTGTGTTGTATATAAAATGAATGGACACGAAGGTTCAGTGGATTTCCTTCATTTTGGTGCTCTGTATTGTGCTCACTTGCTTCAGTTTATCAGGGGTGTAACTCAAAATGCCTACCGGTCAGTGGCAGACTCAAGTTTAGAGAAGAGGGGCTCAAAGGTCACCAGACTGATCGGGAAAAGTCATACGAGGACTGCGAATCGTTCCTTCTTTATCACTACTATTCTGATCTTGCTGTGCAAGGTACATTACCCACAGTTTCTCTAGCAGAGTTCCTGAGTGAACAGGAAATTACATGTGTGGTCTTCTCTTACTGGTCCACTTGAAGTGTATTTGTGAAGATTTCTCACCAAAATACAACTAATGCAATACAACTAACTCAAGTATAGGTTGTATTTTAAAAAATGAGCATGGGCTCCATGTCTGAAAAGTAAAGCCAAAACAGAAGTGCCTCCTCAGGCTTCTGAAAGAGGTTCAATGAGGAGAGATCATTCGGAAGAACTGGACATGATTTATTGAGAAAAAGAAATAAATTAACACATTTAGTGATCAGACTCCGATGATCCATCATGGAAGAACAGAATCCCAGTGGTGATAGGATTTAGGACAGGACTCATCCGAGTCTAGACACTGGTGGTGGTGAAGATGAAGATGGAAGCTGAAGATTGATGTAGCTCTAACCAACTCGGATGAGGTGGAGACGGGGAGGAGGGTGGTTGCACAAATGAGAGTCTGATAGGGAGAATGGCAGAAGAGTACTGAGATTTAAAGCCAACAGAGTGGAGGCTAATTGGCCAAAAGAAGGCAGGCAGTGATGTCAGTACTGGGAAAGTGAAAGTGATGTAAAGAACAGAGTAGTAGCTGAACACCCAGGAAAGCAGAATAGATAATGTCCATGAGAAAAGCAGAGCCCCAGGCAGGGGTGTCAAATACAAGGCCCGGGGGCCAGAATGCTGCCCCCAGTTTAGCAAAGACTCTAATCCAGTCCCCTGGACAGCTTCAGAAAATGTGAAGGAGTGCATAGTTTTCAGAAATGTAACTGTATTTGTATAAGTTTTCCAACGTTTCCAATTGATAAAGACTGCCCCTCACTACCTCCCCCACACAGCCATTCATACTACACTAAAGTAATTAACTATTAGATAAACAATTACATGAGAGAAAAGTTCCTGTTTTTCCAATGTCAGCTAAAGAAATAACAAGATAATGTTCTCTTTTGTTGACGGATGATGGCAGGGTGTAATTCACGGTAGGCCAAGCTTGTTACTAACAAGTAATACCAACATGAGGTTTCACTGTCAGATCAACCCCCAACTCATCAGTTCTGCTTTCAAGACATCAAGATACCGACAATAAAACACTCAGCTTGAGGCTGAGTGTTTTATTGTTTTATTGTGTGCTCCTTGTCACCAAACATGTGGCTACCGCCATCTTTTTACATTCAGTCTTAGAATAGAGTATTGTTGTGCCTGCAAAAAAGCAAAACCGTAACTCATTTAAATTTAAAATCTCCTTCAAGCTAGTCTCCCAACTTGCCTTCACAGACCACTTAATCACAGCTCGTGGGGACTGAACTGCATTTTGCCATCTGGTGTGACAAACAAAAACATTTTATAAACAGAAATACTTGCAAACAATTTAGTGTTGGTTTGTACCTCTTGACGGTTTGCAGCCATGCATGGGTTATAAATGTGCTTGTGTGCATTCATGCTGGGGCATCCTAGGGTATTTAAAAGTAGAACTTGAGGCAGAGACTTCAGCTTGCCCCACCTCATTGGAGCCAGCTCCCAGTTTGGATTTGGGAGACAGACACACTCTCTACTTTTAAGATTAAGCTCTAAGCTTTTCTTCTTTTAATTTTTAATATTTATTTTATAAAGCTTATAGATCAGACTGGCTAAGGTGATCCTCAATCTCTCTTAGTTACACTAAAATAGGTGTAGGCTGCTGGAGACTTCCCATGATTCACTGAGTGTTTTTCTTCAGTCTCTATGTGTTTATACACCAGTTTGCATTTAATCACTAGTTATTATTAATTTTTAAAAATGTTATGTCACATGTATATATACAGGTAAATCTCACTGAGGCAGTGTTATTATAAATTTGTTATACACTCGGTTTCCTGAGCCTGGATCTGCTGCAGGTTTCTTGCTGTTAAAAGGGAGTTTTTCCTGTCACCAAGTTCTTTTTCATTGGGGGGTCATCTGATGGTTGGGCTTTTCTCTGTTTTATTGTCAGGTCTTTACCTTAAAATTTAAAGTGCGTTGAGGTAACTTTTGTTGTAATTCAAAATAAATAAAATATAACTGAACTGGATTATGCTGAGTAAGAAGGCAAGGCAAGTTTATTTGTATAGCACAATTCAACAACAAGGTGATTCAAAGTGCTTTACAGAGACATTAGAAACAAAAACAAATAAAAAGCATGATTTAAAATTGATTAAAACAAGCAAACAAACAAACAAACAAACAAACAAACAAACAAACAAAACAGTATATAAAATCAAAACAGATAAAATCAGAACAGTAGATAAAATCAGTAGTTAAAATGTAAGTTTTGAAATTTAAGCTTAAGTGTGGATTTGGTGCTTTATTTAAATGCAGCTGAGAACAGGTGAGTCTTCAACCTGGATTTAAATAAACTGAGTGTTTCAGCTGATCGGAGGCTTTCTGGGAGTTTGTTCCAGATATAAGGAGCATAAAAGCTGAATGCAGCTTCTCCGTGTCTGGTTCTGACTCTGGGAACTGATAAAAGACCGGATCCAGATGACCTGAGGGATCTGGAAGGTTCATACTGGGTCAGGAGGTGGTAAGAAGAAATTCTTCTGTGACCACTAGATAGGACAGACTAACAAACACAATCAGGAGCTTTTATCCAGTGTTTCAGCTGAGTTCATCACACAATGATTGGATCACCACCACCACCAGCAACCCCCACACCACAGCTGTCCCTCTCCAACAGCTGCAGCCAATCAGAAGTCTCTTGTCATTGTGTACAAACAAAAAACTTTTGCGCCCTGCAGCCTTTAAATCAGCCTGCAGTCAAGTATCGAGCAGAGCAGAGTGCACCACCACCATCGCCACCAAAAAACTTAACAATTTGAAGGATGGAGCCCACCAGGCGCAGGGAGTCTGTTTGCAGGAGCTTGTTTGGCCCGGTGGACCACAGCCAGCTGCGCCGGGACTTGAAGCTGAAGCTTAAGGCGATCATTGAGGAGGACAGCCGGCGCTGGAATTTTAACTTCGAGTGTGAAACCCCGCTGCCCGGCCGGTTTCAGTGGGAGGAAATACCTGGAGTCTGCACTGCGGCTTTCCATCAGGATCCCGCACGGCCGAAGGACGCTGCCCACGGTTCAGGTGGGGACAGGCCGAGCGACGGCGAAGAAGGCGCAGGGACCGACCAGGAGAACTGCTCCATCATCACCAACAAGCGCAAGAGTCCCACTGAAGAGACGCTCCACAGGAGGAAGAGGGCGCTCTCCAAACCGGCAGCCAGTCTCAAAGACAATGCACGGATCACAGGTACAGGAAAACGAGTCCCGTTAGCTTTTGTTTGTTGGCTTATCGACAAATGTAATGCCAAAAATATTGACCAATCTCTCTCTCCGATTTTCAGATTATTTCGCAAAGAGAAGGAGGACAACAACAACCAAGAGCATCCCGAAACATTTTCACGTCGGTTCTAATGAAGCAGCTCTGCGCAAGACTTTAAGATGAACATGCAGCTGAAAATGACTATTTATGTTTTCATGGACTTGATCCCCACAACAAATTATTTTATTTTATTTTATTGTATGTTGGTGGATTTTATTTATTCTTTTTTTCTTTAGCAGTTTTTGGTTTTTTTTTTTTTGAGATTACATCTCTTATTAGAATATTTATTCTATTTATGGATGTTATGAATGTTCTTCACTGGCATTTAAAAAAAAATCTGTTATACACTCGTGCTGCTAATGTAACTTGTTCTAAAAAAAGCACTATTTTGTTAGGTCATTATTGTTATATAAAATGAATATGTAGCACATTTCTGTGCATATTACAGTTTTAATAAACTGTGATTATTGATCATTACATTTTATGCCTGTTGACTTTTTTTTAACACCAGGAAACTTTTCGTGTAAAGTAACAAATTTGTGATAGTTTCATTTTCATCTCCTATATCAAACCTTTTTAATGTGAATTTTATCTCTAAAAACTCTGATAAAATCAGACATAGCCATTCAGAAGCTCATGCATGATTGCCAGTCAATACTTTACAGATCTATACTTGTCTAAGACATAAATTGAGAACTGCAGCACATCAACAATACACAGTGTTAAAACTACAGATTGGTAATATCCAAAACAATGTGCACCACATTTTGCACTGTGACAGTTTGCTGACACTGAATAGAGCTGAATCTTTTTATCCTCCAGCTGTCAAACGTGTTGTCAGTCTTGTCTTTATATGCAAGACACCGAGACTGCTTTTTCTTACACTAAAATGTTCATCTATTTATAGCCGTGCCCTTTGGTGAACAGATTTCTAAATGATTGGTTTTTCAATATGACTGCAGTCTTATGAGAGAGTACATCTTTAGTGTTTTTTTTGCTGTCTTTGCAGCAGACACAGATGAGTAGGTTAATAAGTCTCTCTCTTTCTCTCTCTCTCTGAAGTCATAGAAGAAGAAAAACTACTCGGGTTGTAAGTTTAGCAATTCAAAGAAGAAAATTGTTTCAGAGTAATTGCATTCTCTGGGTTCTATTATGAGATATTTCATAATCACAATTGTAAGAAATGTGCCGTCAGGCTTTAAATTATATCCATTAATATAAACTGTAATTGCCAAATTAGCCCATTAGAAAAGCCAAATCCCGCATAAGTATGTGCACTCCTGCAGTGTTGGGCTTTCAGCTCTAAAGAACTTCAAGAGGCCATCTGGCCTGAGAGCAGGATAATAGCAACAAAGCAGAGCGTGCCATCTATTTCACCTACAAATCAGCCTTTGGCACTCCTCGACCCCCCCACCCCCAGGTCTTCCCTCAGCTTTTCTATTTTCACTTAGTCCCTGTTCATAGTCAAAGTTGCTATCATCCTTGACAAGTGCCTGAAGCAATATCACTTATGCTTATTCTTACTTTGCCTTACGATTGCTCAAATGTCACTTTCCCAAAGACCTCCTGTTCATACTTGCTACACAAGCAAGAAAAAAGAAAGACAATAACACTTTTAAAAGGCTCGGTGACGTTGCTAACTGTGTTATTTCTGAATTGGAGACAAATGATCATTCACTTTGTTCCAGTGGATTTATTTTTCAAATAAACGTGTCAAAAATCAATATCAAACTGTCCCATGGGTCCATAGGTTCCCATAGGTTAGAGGATTCCCAGGTTTCCAACTCCAGCAGTAATTACATTCCCTGAAAGAGAAGCATTACAAGCATCAGTACATTTTCTGTGAATTTAACTGTCACTAACAAGCCTGCAATGATTGTTTCATGCAATTCTAGAGTGATTTTGCTGAGAGAATAAGAAATGTTCCTTCATAATGACCCATAGGTTGATTAAAAAGCAAACAAAGAAAAAACAAAAAGCATCCTGCAAAGAGTACTGCTTTGTTTTGGAAACGGTGGTTTCTTATGATTGGGATTTAATTAAATTGTCCAAAGTAGAAGAAATTGCAGGAAAGACACACATTAGGACTTCCACTTGTGTTTGATCACTCAACAAATACAATCTGAAGAAATTATACCCTTTGATGCAAAGCAAACTGCTGGCTAAATTAGCATGTTAGTGTTTTATTTCTTTTTTCTTTCTGTATGAAATGTGCCTTACAAATTGCCTCACCTAAGCAGATGCTAAAGAAACATAAAAAAAATCAGTTCATTGTAGCTTTAGGACATAATGACTTTCTGTATTGTTTGATTGTTTATAACGCAGATTACTCCAATATCCCAAACAATCCACGCCCTCCCTGTAATGAAACTCTCCCCTCACCCTCTTCCTGATCGCCACAAAGGCCAAGCACCCTCAGCACACTTTAGGAGGGTGCAGCCCATTGTTGTCCACACCAGAGGCAGATGGTCATTTGGGCCCTTTCTCCACATGGGTACTTGTATGAAGGAATGCCTGGACACCCCACGGATGGTCAGCAGGGAAAAGGTCACCATCTGCCGCTCAAAGGTCAGCTGTCTAAAGAGCATGGTATTAGCCATGCTTTTGACTGTTTCAATAAGCTGGCGAGGACACGACACACAGCTCCACCTCATTGTGTTAAAACATGAGTGATGCAAAATACTTGTGGAAGCAGTGACTTGAACGGTGCTCCAGACATTCAAGACAAGGACTCTTAGTTGGATTATTTGCTTTCATTTTTAGTGTGAAATACTGGCTTTTTTTGTTTGCTTTTCCTTCAAAATACCTATTACAAAAGAAAAATGTCTTTCTGTAACTCAAATATTTATCTCACTG